TCTTTGACAATCAAATCGTCGATGTCCTCACTCGTGTCGAGAGATTGTGTTCCATCTTAAACGAGAGTGAGGCCCATCTCTTTCAAGGAGGCAAACCTACCCACCATAGCTCGAAAATCGCCTTCTAACCGGATACTCTCTCGAATAACCCTCGCGGATAGAGAACAATATCTACCGAGCGGAATGTGAGATGCGTCCAAATCGAGGAAATAGACCACGGTAGAGTCAAACTTCTCAAGTGTAGCTTCAAGAACGGATGGAATCGGAATGCATATCCAACTATGAAATTCCTCAATGATCGACGCGAGGCTCGCGAGTGCTTCTTGAGTGCTCGCCAAAACCTCTTGGTGACGTTCGGAAGGCGCACCCATGGTTGGAAATGAAGCTTCGGAGCTCAATGTGCAAGGTTGGCCAACCGATGGGTGCTCCAATGGTAGAGAGGGTGTAGCAAGGGACTCGATATCATCTTTTTCGGGAATGGGAGCCACTGAAGCTCGAAGGGATCGATTGCACTCCTCTAAGTGCTCCATAATCTCGGCTATATTGACTCGGGAAGATTCTCGAGTCGGCTCGGGTGGAGATGTCGCATCATAAGAATCGGGAGGCGGTGGATAATAGTGAGGCGTCTCGTCGTGCCCCGGAGAGTAATAACCAAAATCGACATGAGATGACGGTAAAAAGTGGTTCGGGTACGGATAAGGCGGCCCTCCATACGAATACATCTCCTCATGATAGTTGTTGGGGCATCCACGAGACGAGCTACCGGCATAAGCATAGCCATACGGATCCATCGGTGCTCCTCAAGTGAAATACCTCGCACAAGAACAACAAAACACCCCAAGGCACACGAGGCACGAGAGAAAATAACACAAAGCGAAACTAAAAACACATAATATTTACACGGGCACGAAAGGCAAAACAAGAGAAATGGAAAATAAGCAAATAATCAAGAGAAACACGCAAAAACGAGCAAAATCAACAAAAAGCAAGAGAAACACGGAAACAAACGACAACTATATAGCAAACTTGGCGTCCTACTCGCCTTCCCCGGCAACGGCGCCATTTTGTTTGTAGTATTTTTGGGCATGTGGTAACCGAGGTACCCGACTCGGGCCGTTCTCAAAGAAAGGCTATT